TATATGTTAGTGTCAGGTTGCTGTCTGCTGTCTCTGTTCAATGAACTCCTTTTAGTATTTTGTATAAGATTGGTTTGGCTTTTGCAAATTCATTTCTGTTTATCTGGGAATGTCCTAATTTTGCCATCATATTTGATAGACAGTTTTCCTAGGTATATGATTCTTGGTTGGCAATTTTTTTTCTTGCAGAGTTTTATATATGTCAGTCCATTGTCATCTTGCCTGCATGGTTTCTGTTGCAAAATCAAAGTTAAGTCTTATTAGTTCTCCTTTATAGGTAACTTTTCATTTTCTGCAAGCTGCTCTCAGGATTCTTTTTCCTTGTTCTTGGCTTTGAAAAGTTTGATTATAATATGCCTTGGTGATTTTGCTTTGGAGTTTTTCATGTTTGGAGTTTGTTTAACTTCTTGAGCAGCTATCTTCTTGCCTTTCATGATATTAGGGAAATTTTCTTCCAGTAACTCTTGGATAATTTTCTTTGTGATTTTTTCCTCCTGTTCTGGGATTTGAATCACAAGTAAGTTATTCCTCTTGATAGGTCCCACATAAATCTTAGGCTTTCTTTGGATCTTGAAAATTATTTTTCTGTTGTTACTCTTGAAGATGAGTATTGAGACTTTTGTCTTCAATCTCATTGATTCAGCCTCCCACTGATTTAATTCTACTCCTTTTCCCTTTCAGTTTCATATGGTTTCCAATTTTTCATTTATTTTGTCAGTTTGTTCTTATAGTATTTTCCTGAATTCTTCCTTGGTTTCATCCGTCTTTCTCTCAATTTGTTGGAGGTACCTAAATAACATTCTTTTAAATTCCTTATCAAGTAGTTCTGATACCATTTCTGGAATTATATTTTCTGACTCTGGATTTTGGTTACTTATTTGAGGCACTCTGTCTTTTCTGTCTGTTTACTTGGAGATGTTGTGGTGTCGTTGTATTTATATTTCATTGATGACTGTATGTTGATATGCACTTCGGCACTCATCACCTGTCTCCTGGTGGATATGATAGAGACAGGAAGTAAGAGCACAGTTATTTCTTTACTATTCATGTAATATAGTTCAGGGTTCATACACCTTCAGAAGAAGGGGTGGTATGCCTGGTGCCTGACCCCAGCTGAGGTTGTGCATGAGGGAGAGCCACTGGTCACTATGTTGACGATCCTGGGATTGATCACGTCATGGGCTACCAGGAGGTCACAGGAACAAGGGAGCGCTGTACCCTCTTGCCTATGACCTCCAGTCTCCTCCTGTGTTCACAGGCTGCTGTATCTGCAGCCACTTGTAAAAGCTCATGATGGCTGCGCCGCACAATGCCAGTGACCAGCCCACCTGTTTTGCTTCTCTCGTGCTGCTCCTGTTTGGTTTTCTCTTCCAGTTATCCCTCAGTTCACCTCTCTGTTCTATCCTCTGAAGCTCAGGTTCCAGGACCACCATCTGTACCTATTTCTCTTGTTCTCAAAGACTCAGGTCTTTTTTTGCTAAGTCTGCTCACTGCATCTGCCAACTCCGCCATCTTGCCCCAGACTCGATAATTCTATTTTTTCTCCTTTTTTCACCAGATCCACTTTCATTTCTACCTGTCTCTGTCATTTCTCTGTTTATTTCACATTACTTCATCTTTCATCTCTTTTGTAATCTGTGTTATTGTATAGAATGGAGAGCATCTAAGGCAAAATCTAGTACCACCTTATCAGTCTTTCCCTACTTTGCAATGAAACACACACACACATATAAGAAGATGCTCTCCATCACATTAACATGAGGTCTTATTGGAGTATGTTGTTGTTGTTAAGTGCCGTCAAGTCAGTTCTGACTCATAGCAAACTTATATAGGGTTTTTGAGGAGTGGCTGGTGAGCTTGAACTGTCGACCTTGCAGTTCAAACCAACCTTGCGTTCCAGCACTCTAACCCGAAGCACATGGTGAGTTCTAAAACCATGTGACTGGTATCCTTGTAAAAATATCGAAGATACACAGAGAAATAAAGGAAGGACACCAATGTATGTGTGTGTTCAGTGGACAGGGAGAAACATCCTATAAAGCGGTACTAGCTTTTGTCTCAGCACGCCTATAGTACTGCTTGGCTTGTTTCGATTACTCAGTATAAATTTGCTGAATGAGTGAATGAATGAATGAGTCCTCTTTGAAAATTTTATAAGAATCAATCACTCTTAATGCTTTCCTTTACATTAGTACTTTTTCAATATTATCTTTCTAGTTCAGTAATTTGCAAAATACGTCTTGGAAGTACCAGTTTTATAAAATGTTCTCTGAAAGAAAGGCTCTATGGACAAACAATTTAAAGCTGTGTGTTAAATCCTTCTTTTCAAAAGGAACCCATTAAGTAAGTATTAAGGACCCCAAGACATTTTGGATTAGCCAAACCTGTTTAACTTAGTTTAATTCAGCATTTCTAAAACTTATTTGACTATTGTTGTTATTAGGAGCCATCACGGCAGTACCAACTCATAGCGACCCTATGCACAGCAGAACAAAACACTGTATTAATATTTCAGAAAACACATTTTGGGAAAGTTTCTTTTGGAACCTCATGTAGCTCATTATAGACTTTTTGTCACAAAATGATCTTCAAATATTTTTGAATTTCCATTGTTTTGCAACCATTCAAAGAGATATACATTCTGACTAAATACAATTAGATTGTCCAGGCTTAAGTCAGGCATTTCTAATTCAGATTTTTCTCATTTGATATTTTGAAAAGATTAGATCTCTATGACCTTTTAAAAATGTATGCTACTTCAGGCATTACATTTGTGTATTTAGGAAAAGGAGAGATAGTGTTATTGGTGCAGAGAGAACACTTTACCCCCTCCCCTCATGATATGCAGGCATTTTTATATTTCCCCAGAGCTGAGTAAAAGAGACAGTTTGTCTTTACCCATGGTCTTAATATTGAGTGTTCATCTAGGAAGTAAACCTACAACTGTACAGCTTTCCTGTCAAAATGGAGTAGCTGGATAAAGTAGAAAAGCTGACTAGTTTTGTTTTCAGTCTCAGAGTATTCTATTTGTTGTATTTTTTCTTTATCTTTAAAACAATAATCTTAAAGCACACCATATTTTCTTTGACAATTTACCATAAGATATTCAACTGTGTTTTACTAGTTCAGCTGTTCACTATGATTAAGGAACCTAATGTGTTGTTGTTGTTTTTTTGTTTTTGCGGGGCGTGGTGGGGGGGTGTGGACAGGAGGCAACTACTGGAGTCCTGGTAGGGTGCTGTGGGCTAATGTGCTGGACTGAAAAGTCAGTTTGAACCGCAAGGTCCACAGTTCAAACTCACCAACCACTCCTCTGAAACCCTATACAGGGTCGCTATGGGTCAGAACAAACTCTACAGTGCTTAATAACAACAACAATTCTTAGACACTTGCTTTACCTCTCCTCTCTCTCAAATGTGTTTTCTCCTCACAGAAAGTTTTCAACTAAACAGGCTTTCCTACTGATGCACCAAATCTGAAAGAGACATCGATTTGTTATAGACTTGTCTAGGGAGTTCTTAGCTCAAGTTCTTGCATTTTGTAAGAGTGTCATATTTCTATACTTCTTTTTGGCTGAGACCTCTTCTTCTGGTTCCCTAAATGTCTATTTTTTGGTGCAGTATCTTGAATATGTCTGTAATATTAGAATTAAAAGCAACCTTCAGAGACTTTGAAAACATTGCATTGCTAAACACACAATTTGACCAAATAATACTGTTTCCAAGAATAGACAAGGAAACTCTAAATAATGGACAACTGACTGAGCATTCATATTCATGCTAGTGAATGAAGTTCTCTTTGGTTTTCTCCTCAACAGACAAACAACAGAAAGGTGAATTTGCAATCGATGGCTACACCGTCAGGATAAATAACACCCTTAGGAAGGATGCAAAGAAAGATTGCTGTTTTGAAATTTCTGCTCCTGATAAACGAATCTATCAGGTTGGAATTTTTATGTTGCTGTGAAATTAAGTTGATAAAATGTTCTGATTTCATTTATGGAGACATTAACATTTTGTTAAAACAATTCTCCTTGACATGTTAATAGTAATAAAAAATACTGGCTGTATCCACTGAGCACTCATACAAGAGAAAATGCATTTTTAAAATGTTTCAGAGAAGTGCAAGTGGTATCTCCCTGAAAAAGAACAAGTGAATATGTCATTTATCAATTACTCCAAATATTGTATTTTATATCCGTTTTACTGTGCGATTTCCTAAAAGAATTACGTAGTAGAAAGAATAAAATGATCAAAAGAGAAATATCAGTGTTAATGCATATTGCATTGCTTAGGGGTGTGGGAGAAAAGGAAGGTATGGACTCTGTAATTCAAGAGCTATCAGCTAGGCATCAATATGGAATGTATGTTTAATAAGTTTTAAATATCTGAGATTGCAGTTGAAAGCCAGTTAATTAAGTTGTCAGGTAGTATGTTGGAATCTGACAAGAACATTTTTAAGAAAACTGTACCCAGCAGTCTAAAGAAATTCATGGGTGTCTTCTAATTGTCAAGGGCAAATTTTGTTCATCAGTCCTGTCTTTGACATTGATGAAGAGAAGCAGTTTTTTTTTCTGCACAGCTGCCAGCTGCTGATCAGAGTTTCAAATCCATCATCCTCTGCTTCAATTACGTATATTTGTCAAAATTAACTGTACATTATAAGAAGCATCCTTGCAAGAAAAGTACCACTAGACATGAAAAGAATTACTAATGGTCTTTAAGAAATGATAAGAATGCTACACGCCTTCCATTCTACTATGGTGATTTTTGTTGTGTTATTGTTTGCTTTTTTATTAGTTTACAGCAGCTTCTCCCAAAGATGCCGAGGAATGGGTACAACAGCTGAAATTTATATTACAAGGTAAGAGCAATCAATTAAACAGGACATCATAGCCTTTAGATACTGGGTAACTGAGTGATTGGGGTTTTCATTGGCAAAAGCTTATTGACTGGTGTGAGAACGATTAAGAAAACACGGCTGGTATTAATAAAGACCATTCACTTGAGATTTAGAAAAGCATCTTTTCTACATGTACCAATTGCAAACTCTGAAATTCACATTCCAATCAATTTTTAAATGTTTTAAATTAAGGATTAGATGTAGTAAACCTATGGTTGTTACTTTTTAGGGCTGAATTAATTTAGAAAATACTAGTTTTAGAAATATTCTTTGTGCTCTCTTAAAATTTACTGTACAGAACATGTTTTCTAGATATGGAATCTGATATTATTCCTGAAGATGATGATGAACGAGGAGAATTATATGATGATGTTGATCATCCTCTACCAATCAGCAGTCCACCAACAAGTTGTCAACCAATAGATGATGAAATTTATGAAGAGCTTCCAGGTATTTATTTTCTGATGACTCATTTAAGAATTTTAGGGCTCTCTTTTTCTTTTTTTAATGTCATATGTCATCAAATTGACAACTTGAGTAGAAATGGTGACTTATTAAGAACAAAGGACAAAGAAAATTTTCAAAAAGTGGTTTATGAAAATGGTTCTGCTTGAGGTATTTCAAGCGAGTAGATGTACATTTATGAAAAGTGAATGGAACATTAAAATCATGCAGATACAATCCTAATCTCTTGGGACTTTTGGCTCATTAGCATTGTTTATGGTACATAATTTTTTAATTAAAAAATTGACTTGCCTTACAGTTCTTTCCACCAACTCACACATCATTTTTTGTTTATACATCTTGGAACTCTATTAGCCAGAAGTTCTATGCACATCCATATGTCATCATCTTCTGCCTTGTGTAGCCTTCTTTACTGCAATGGATTTCATTGTCTTAGAGAAGTGTGGGATAATAAACAAAGGCCTTTTGATGCTTGAAGTTTTCTTCTTTGAGATTTTATGTTAGCATCAATGTGAATTCGTAAGGGTATTTTATTTAAAATTTCAGGCATGGTGTGGTCTTTCCATGCCTCAATATCTATTATATAAAATGAATTCGCTATTAGCTACTTGATTTGTAGTTTTGAGGGTCAATGCAGAACAGAAAGATAAGCATGTGAAATGTAGGATGTATGTGAAACACGGCACTTAAAGAGTATCAAAGTATTTGTTGTTGTTGTTAAGTGCCGTCAAGTCGGGTCCGACCCATAGCGACCCTGTACAGGGTTTCCGAGGGTGTAAATCTTTACGGGAGTAGAAAGCCTCATCTTTCTCCCGCGGAGTGGCTGGTAGTTTCGAACCGCTGACCTTAAGGTTCGCAGCCCGATTCGTAACCACTACGCTACCAGAGCTCCTATCAAACTATTTAGGGGATGATTATACTACTAATACTTAAGTTGAAATGAGTCTTTTTCTGACTACTAAAAATTTTAATAGTTAAAAGAAGAAAAGGGGATAATAAATAGTATATGTGAAATTTACCTACTGTCTTGTGTACAGAGGTTATTTGTCTCTGAATGGACCAATTCAGTGATATATTATAACCTTTAAAGTTGATTTCTAAATTACTCATAAGGTTTCAATTTAGTGTACAAATGTCATTTTCAAATTACTCACAGTAATCTAAAGATAAACTTTAGAGTAAAAAAGTTTAAATTCTGCTCTGCTGTATACTAGTTCAGTGACCTTAGAAGTCAATTTCTTCATCTATAAAATGAGGATAGTCACACTGAGGAGTAAATGAGATCATTTACTTACAACTCTCAGTGTAGTGCTTGAGTTGTAGGAAGTACAAAATAAATTATAGCATCATTATCACTATTGTTTTCATCATCGTATATGATACATTCTTGCAAGTACTTATGTGGATATGCAATAATGATTTTCTGAGCAAGGAAGAATTAATAATGGTAACAGTATTATGAATTTAAGATATTAAAAAGCTGCTCAAAACATATACCTACATATTGTGTTTTAGTACCCTAAAAGAAGATGATTAATGTAGAAATATAGTCTGTGGGGAAGAGGAATTTCTGTATTTCTGTTTAGCCTAGTGGATTACAATTTGGGCTGCTAAACTCAGGGTCAACAGTTTGAATCTACCAGGCTCTGCATGTAAGTTGAGGCTTTCTGCTTCCGTAAAGATTTGCAGCCTCGGGAACCCTAGACAGGGTAGGGTCTCTGTGAGTTGGAATGGACTCAAAGACACTTAACACAACAATGTTTATTAGCTCTTCCCTTTCTGCTTTGTCCTAAGGGAATGGCATCTGTTACAGCATCAGTTATCCCCAAATCGGAAAGACTGCTCTCTGGCTACTAGTTTTTAGTCACGGTGTAGCATCATTAATCCAGCTATTTTAGTCTTTGCCATGTTCAGAATAACATGTGGGATTGTACACTGATGTAAAAGAGAAGAGTGCAGTACCTTTAAGCATGATATTATTGTCATTAACATTTCATCTCTTCAGAGCCATGCCATGAGTAGTATATTACAATTGTTGAATTATCTGTTAATTAAATTCTGTGTTTCTTGACCATGTTCTCATGCATCCCCTCCCCCTGAAAATAATAAAATAAAAAGAAATGATCAGGAATGATGAAATATGCATAATCATCTCCATAACCAAGATCCAAGGAAGATGTTTATAACTAGCTTAAAATCTTAAAAATATGAAACATCTTTTGTTTTCTCTCACTGCAGGCCCCCCTCTTTTTTTTTTTTGGCCAGGGGGCACACATATTTGTTGGAAGTAACTGGTTGCACTTTAAGTAGCCTTACTTCTTGTTGTGTTATTGGGAGAAATTTAAACTGCTTTGGGATTCCTTTCCCCTGCCTAGGATCCCCAGTTGCTGTACAGAGTGACTGAGCTTGATAGAACCCACAGCTGTGCCCCTGGGAAGGAAGCTGTTGTAGGCAGCTGCAGAATGTCTACTTCTTCTTTCCTCCCCAGTGTAACCGAGAGTCACTTCAACATCTGCACAGTTCAGCATGTTTTTCGAGTTTGAGCCAGCAGCCAGAGAGGGGATTTTTCTTCGTGAAGGCCCTAAAGTTGTTACTTTAGAGTTAAAGGTTTTATTTACTAGAAATGGAGTCTTTTAATTTAAAAATTCATCTCTCTTTTAGGATTTCACATTGTGAAATATGAATCTGTTTTGGCGGGGGGTAGGGCTGGCCACAGTGGAAAAGGATCAAGGACATTTTACAAGCTGTTGGTATTTTTCCAGTTTTGAATAAGGAATTATGTATCACTGAAGTCTGACTGGTTAAATTCCCAGAATTAATGCTACCATTTCAATGCAATTTTCTGTCAATTACATATCATTGAAAACCATCCTCTTCGTTGACAGATGAGACATCCAAATATGTTTGAAGAAAAATTTAAGCATTCAACATGCTGCTTTAAATCACAAAGATCTTGCTATACTGAAAAAGTAAAGCTCTTACTCTAATAAATGTATTTTTGTTATTGAAATATGAAATAAACCTGCAGTGTCTATGTCTCAAGAGTAAGAAGAAGAAAACACTGTTTAAAAAATTGCCTTACAAAATATCCCTTGAAAAATGTTTATAATTCTATGGGAGTGTAAATAGTTTCGTTGTAATTGTTTTTCAGTTAGAGTATTCTAACTTTATTACAGCAGCTTCTCTTTAATTTCTTGTTCATTAATTTTTAACTAACTTCATAAAAGAATAAGAATATATTGAAAGATTTCTTTGCATTTAAGGGATTTGTGCATATCAAGAGAAGTGTTGCTAGAATACCATTTCTGGAGAGTGTTAACTATATTTGGCTTTTCTTCAAACACCCTAATGCTCTGACATGTTTTGATGCCTTTTTACTTATTAGCATAGACCAGTCAGGTTTGCTTATATTGTGATATTACTATAACATGTTTGTGTTTGCACAGCTAATGTATTGATCAAAGTGTGTTAAACTTTTTCATAACAAGTAATGAGCTCATTTGACTTAGCACAAATTTTAGAATTTATTGGTCATTTTTTCATTAGGAACATAGAGGGAAAATGTTTTGGTTGGATTTTGAATCTTGAAGAGGGTAAACAATATCTGGAAAATGGCTTCAGAAATCAACCCAGTTCTTCCAGTTATACGCAACTTGATTTTTTTTTTTTTCCCTTGCTTTAATGCAAAAAATTAGGTGTTGGTGGTGGGGGATTTTCCAGCTGTAGACTAAAAATTGCTATTAAGTGCCTTTGAGTTGGTTCTGACTGTATTGGGTTTCTAAGGAGTGTCTGGTAGGTTTAAACCACCAACCTTTCGGTTAGCAGCCCAGTGCCTATTCTACAGTGCCACATCAGATCTCAATAGACTGAACAGAATCAGCCAAATACAGGTATTGTAACCAATCACCCATTAGACTTAAGTTGGTATCTTTTAAGGGAATTTCATTTGAAATGTCTTCTGCCAAGTGGGCTAGAAGAGAGTTGTTTTTGTTGTTGAATGCAGTTGAGTTGGTTCTGACTCATAGTGACCCTGAATAGGGCTTCCAAGGAGCTGCTAGTGGGTTTGAACCACTGACCTTGCAACTAGCAATCCAGTGCTTATCCTGCAGTACCACACCAAGAGAAGGGGTGTAAAAGAGGGAGACAAATTTCTAATTACATTAACCTAATTTTTCACTTATGAATTCAGTATTGTTTTTTGTATTGTAATGACAGGTGAACTGTTCTGAGCTAGACAAGGATACTTTTATCCTTTGTTCATTCAATTACATTTTAAATTTATTTAGACCAACTATCTCCCATCTAAAATGAAATATGAAATTTCCAGCTACACAGTTTTTTTTCAGTGGAACTATTATGTATATGGAGTCCTGGTGTGGCACTGTAGGATAAGCACTGGACTTGACTGACTGCAAGGATGACAGTTCAAACCCAGCAGCCACTCCTTAGAAACTCTAAAAGGATCACTATGAATTGTAACCAGCTTGATGACACTTAACAACAACAACAATTATGTGCATATATAAAAAGGAATGTTTGAATGTATTAAATTTGAAGTAGTCTCAAGCAAGTGGACACCTAAGAAAATAATCATTGAGTACAAACTTAAAATACACATTTTAGTTTTTATTTTCCTCTGAATAATCATCAATCATAGCGTTGGTGGTGGTTATATGCTGTGGAGTTGGTTCTGACTCATAGCGACCCTATATAGGGTTTCTGAGGCTATAAATCTTTACAGGAGCAGAACGCTTCATCTTTCTGCCATGGCGTAGCTGGTAGATTCGAACTGCTGACCTTGCAGTTAGCAGCCCAACTCATAATCCCCTATGCTACTGGCATTCCTTAGTCTTAGCATTGTTGTTGTTGTTGTGAAGTGCCATCGAGTCGGTTCTGACCCATAGCGACCCTGTTTCCAAGGAGCAGCTGGTGAGCTTGAACTGCCAATCTTGCAGTTCAAAGGGCTTTGCAGTCTGGCGCATTAT